TAGCTCTCTACGTCTTTGGCAGTTCGAGAAATCGGTACCTTATGAGAACCACCATTTTGGGGACTAATTTGTCAATAACTCTTCAAAGCAAAAACTTTATGAGCCAAAACTTTGCAATAAATTGAGTTAACACAAAATCCATATTGCCTAAAAATCTCAGACCAATTGGTCCACGAATAACGAAAAACGATTCCTGAGGGGGGGCCTTAAAAAAAGATCCATAGCTACTTAATGAATTCATAGCTACTTGATTATTGTATAGCAGCTTCCAACTTTACTATAATTATTCAAAGATCACACATTTATTGAAAGTTTATGCACGTCTTTAAAGTTTCTACATCAATTAAAAAAACGCATCTCAGCCATATTACAAATGAGAGACAAACCTTATTAAATATGATTTCACATATTTATCCAAAAAAATCCTATTACGTATCTCTTCCTCTTTTATATCATTAATACCTCCAATATCATGAACATTTGAAAGTAATCTGAAATATAATAGAAATTCAAATTTCAATCATTTCGATAATTTCATCGTCTCCTAACTATGAAGACTTACATGTTTCACTTTCTCTTTAGTACATCCCTTCCAACCTTCGTGATCCTTTATATCATTAATAATGTTGGTATCATAAATATTTGATTATTCTCATGACCTCTATATAGATTTACATTGTGAGTACAAAATGTTTTGTTTGAATTTTGTCTTAAAAACAACATAATAATATTCATTCAGTAGCTATGCAATTTGATTAAGTAGCTATATGATTCATTCAGTAGCTGTATAATTAATGCGATACGAAACATGAAGCATTTCTGTAATCCGTCCCGAGTTTTTTTCTTTCTTTTTTCCTTGACCGTACGCATCGTTTTCGTCATTTTGTGACTCGCTGATCTCGCGAACCGAAAATCGTAGAAAAATGGTTAAAGCGTAAGATCGAACGCTTTGCACCTTTTTAGAATTTTCAATCTGAAGTTCAATTCACTCACAAATATGGTTCCAAAATGACGAAAATGAAAGAAATTTGTCGCGAGATATTTAAAGTGACGTCATCAACATATGTTATTCACTATACTCTACTCATTTACAACTGATATAAGATAATGAATCATGGAGATAATTAATCGTTCAATCGAAATCGATCTTTAAAATTTTTTCGAATTCATGATTTTTCGTTGGAAATCGAGATTCTTGCTTCGCACCGCATTTCGTATACGGGTGAAACTCGAATACCATCTAGTTCATTCAGTAGTTATACGAAAGCACTAAGTAGCTATGCTTAAGAAAATGCAGCAGACTATATGAAAAAGAGTATCTCTTTTGAGAATGACCCGTTTTGCATGTATTTTCGAATAAATTTCAAGACCGAGTATCGACGAACACAATTTTCATTTGAGAATAAACAAGTCTTTTGTTTTTTTCATATTTTAGCTGCCAAGTATGGGTTGTGCATCAGCAATAGCAAAGATCCCAGTATCAAAAGCAGGGCGAAAAAATCACAATAGACATTTTGGACACTCAGAAGAAATATTAACCAAAGAGGAACATATCAGTGCGATGACGATAGAGTAAGTCAAAATAGGGCCTTATAGAGTGTAGTTGTGTTTTTCATTAGTACCTCTATCACTTTAACATGAGGAAAATAGTAATTTATTTCTGAGAGAATAATAATCGATTCTCGTTGAATTTCATGGCTGAACCATTTCTTATCGTTGTCTGTTGTATCACATGAATTACTAGATCTATTTAGACATTGCCTCCTAAAGATTTTTTCGCTAACTGGAACTGGAGGATCCTAAGAATAAAAAAACCTAGGAATCATTGCCTGACATCAGCTTAGTAATTAATACACTACACATTGCTATGTTATTTCTAGACATGAACAGAACACGAATATAGAATACGGTGAATTCGATCAAATACCTCAAATCTTGTTTGAAGGGGTATCTTCTCTGAAAACTATAGGCTGCCCAGGAACTCTCATTCCGGTGACGAACCAAACACGAGCTGTAATCTGCGGCGCTGATTCCAACAATGTGATTGCAGCTGCTAGTCTATTAGGTCGTGGCCGATGTTTGGTATTTGCTCATAGTGGTTATCCGTACATGTTCATTAACGTTGATGTAGAAGATCGAAAATTTGTCGAAAATTGTCGACTATGGCTTGCCAAAGGCCGTAATGCTCAATTTGTATTGATCGATGACACACAATCATTGAGCGATGTGCCATTAGACGAGACGATTCTGGTTTGGAATGGAGAGTGTATCAAAAACGATACATTTATGCAAAATCTGGTGAATTATATCCTATTTTTTCTTACATGTCATTTAGTAAATATTGAATCATTCCTAGCATGATTATTTGCGGCAAGGTGGTGCTCTAGTTTGTGGAGCAACTCCCTGGGGTTGGCTACAATTAAATAGCGGGAAAATTCTTTCAGATCTTCCATTCTTTCATTTTTGTGATTTCATTGGTATTAAACTAACCGAAAACTACTCCAATTGTTCCAACCCAATGCCGTTTCAACTAGAATTGATACAATTCAAAAATATTCATCACGCTACACAGAAACTTGTTGCCGATCCAACAGATATCGAAAGCTTGTGTATTGTTGGAGGTGCTTGCAAAGATTTAAATGTTGATGTGTCGGGTTTACCAATTGACATTCTTAAGAATATTGCAATGAAAGCCGAAAACGAAGTAATACCAAGCAATAGTTGTCCGATTCAGGATAAATGTTGCCGGCAAAAGTCGAATGGCTTATGTGGTATTTTATGTGTATTAACCAGTACAAAAGCTCCTGGTAATGCAAAATGTTTTTTTTCGAACAGACAATTCAGAGAGCAGTTGGATATTTAGGAATTGCAAACTTCCCAGGCGATTTTAGTCATCCACCAGTCACCGAAACGCATGTTATTTTTCATATTGAATCGAATGCAAACGAATGGTATTGCACAGGTATCTTCTAATATATAACAAAAATATCGAGAAAAAAAACTATATCAGTAGAAATCTAATTTATATTTGATTTTATTCTTCTGCTTAGGATACTATGCTGTTGCTGGTATTCCCATACAAATTGATGTATTAGAATGCATGGGTGCAATGGGTTGGTCAATTAGAATCGGTTGTCATAGCGATCATCTCGAAGTTTGTTTTCACATAGAAAAAAAACAGCACCGATTTTCGGAGCAGAATTAAACTTTCTTATTTAGAACTGTGAGGAACTGCGTCGATGGTCATGTATTTCAATAAATAAACCATTGGTTGGCAATAGTATTCAAATGAGTTCCGCTTTTGGTGGTCTTATATTTTTACAGAGTCCTAATGGTGAATCGAACTCAATTACTGTTCGTCTGCATCATGTCGTTCTCACATTGACCTACGATTCTATGGATCCAAATCGAGTAGCTAATTGGCAACATCGTCGTCATCATGCACGAGGACTTTGGGCTGATATCGCTGGTCAACATATTGTCTTGAATCTGCCTTCAAAAAGCTTACGTCACTTGAAGAGTACTCAACTAGATGAAGTTCTGCTGTTCTGGGATTCAGTAGTGCTTGCTCATCATGAACTCCGTGGTACAAAACCAAAGCATCGTGAGCGTATCGTTTGCGATGAACAACCATCAGCTGGTTATATGCGTAAGAACATATTTGAATCGCACGAGTGTTCTCCTGATATAATTATATATATATAGCGCTTTGATTATGATCATTCTAGATAGCGGTTACCCGATTGTAACTCATATGGATGTAACTGATCCACAATCAGATAAATTCTTATTTAATATTCATGTTTTGAAGAAAAAAGGTTGGTGGGGTGTTTTTCACGAACTCGGTCATAATATGCAACGAGATTGGTGGAGTAAGTATAGGATTAAAAGACTACAAATCATTGTACAAACTTTATTCAGCATTTGATGGTACCGGTGAAGTAACTGTCAATATTTTTACTCTGCATGCTATGAACATTATATGTCATATACAACCATGGATACATCCTTGGCTCGAGGAACAAGAATCCAATACTCGAATATATATCGAAAATGGATGTAATTTTGATGAATGGAAAGATGATCCTGGTATTGGCCTCATTATTTATGCGCAACTTGCACGAGAATACGGATGGGAAACCTATAAGCAGGTCTTCCGTCAATATGAACAGACTCAACCATATCTTGATAGTAATCAAGAAAAGATGGATCATTGGATTGAAATTTTTTCGCGTCAAGTTGGCTATAATCTTATCCCATTGTTTAAATTTTGGGGTTTTCCTGTTTCGAAATCTACTGTGGAAGTTCTTCACGGTTTAGATGTTCCAAAGATTACTGATAAATTCATCGAAATAGCACCCGAACGTTATCGTATCTAAGACTTTTACTTTAATTAGACACAAAAATAACTGTAACATCTATGTACATAGGTATTACTTGAATTGAACAAATCTCGAATGGAGAATTATCTTTTCGTTATAAATAAAATTGCAGAAAGATAAGATTGATGTCAATTGTTGATAAAATCTTTTTAGAAAATCATGAGGAGATGCGTCAAAATATAAAAGAGAAGGATTCGACGAATCTCAGGACAACATACATCCAGTTCGTGGGTACTAGAGTTTTTGTCAATATCTTTCAAATCTCTAAATATGTTTAACATATTTAAACTCAAATAATTGACCAATCATCATTAGTGCGGTGCTTCAGAAATCACAGTTTGAAACTCACAAAACTTGACTGTTGTATTTTTACGGTCTACTATCAAAAAACTTAAAATGATATCCTTTAAAAGATATTGAAGGTTTTCGAACATCTAATTCTTCTTTAACTAATTCACCAAATTGGTTTAAGTTCGGTGTGCTGAAAATACTTATACGATGGATGCAAATTAAAAACTTGCTACAATGCATGCGAGTTTCACAAGTCACATTTCATTAAAGAACGTGCATACCTCATAGTTCACTTGGTCGCTCAGAGCTTCGTATTCCGTGGCTTGAAAGGAAGACTTATTATCATTCTAAGAGAAACAACTGACAAAAGTGACAAAACATCCTGCACTTACATAAGAAGCATTCGAAAAAAATCCAACGTTGACTGCCATTGCATATGCATCTTATAAGCAAATGCCTCAATATAATGAAAGACCAGTCGCATGGAAAGAACAAAAGAACCGTGACACGACATTACCGCGCGCGACACCTCCGCGCTACAGTGATCGTGCGAGCAAAAGTTGAGGGTGAACTCTTAAATATGTGTGAGAAAGGCAGCAAAAGTGAGGGGACGAGTGAGGGTCAGGGTGAGAGTTAGAATGCGGACTTTGCGAGCAAATATTATGCATGAATCTGTATTACGCGGTAATGTCGTAGAACCCAAAAGAACATTATATTATATAGAACAGCGTCATTTGAATATTCATTTGAATATCGTTCTGCTAACTTTTCATTCACCGTTTTCTTTTGCGCATATATCTATATAAAATCAAATTTATGGAGCACAATGGACTTCTAAATTTTCATCCATTTTTTATGGACTATTTTTCAATTGATTCGTCGGTGGAGTATGCTAAGAAATAAATTGGCGATCCAAAAAGGATTATACTGAAGCTATCTAATCATCTGACATTTTAATAATGATATCACAGATACTAATGAAAATGAAAATAAAAATAAACAAAATGCACTAAATTCTAGATTAGAACTAACTTTTCACAAAATATCGCATACTACAACACATGCCAAACATGTTAACCTAGTTTGCATCCAACAAGACAAAATACTGCTGATTTTCATCATTGATAAATTTTATATAAAAAGTATACAGAATTGTTTACATGAAAATGCGTGAACACGTAAAAAGACGGAAGATTTAGCGATCTTAAAGCACATTTATCGTTCATTTATTTTCCTACTTGTATTTCTGACTGTCCCTTAGCCTTTCTGTAGTTTTTTTTTCTTATTTGCCTCTTTTTTCTGTCCTCGTGATAGTTTCAATGGTGCTGTATTGTTGCTGTTAGCAGTAGATACTGTTTGTTGCGATGAAGTTATATCTGCTGTAGTTTCTGGTGGTGATTCTAGATGATCGCTGCCATGTAAGAAGGACGAAACAGTTGTGAGTGTTGGATTGTTTGATAAATCAGAAGATGGAGAATTTCTGGCATTCAAACTAGCTAATAGATCATCCGTAAAAATACCCTTGAATAAGTTTTGAAGGTCGTTTTTTGTCACAATATTTTCTTTCAAATAATGTAAATCAGTCTTAATGTCACGAATGCACTTTTCAGTTTCCTTGATATGATAGTAAAAAAGCCGACTATTCTGAAGGGTTATCGCGTCACTGTATTCGTAGTCTGTTGGATCTCGGTAGCAACCAGTCAAATTTAATACGTAACGATTATCTTTGTTTTCTCCCTTCAAGCGTATTTCACTTGAAGACAAAATTGAAATAGCATCAGCTGTCAAAACCAGGTGAACATGAGCATGAGCAGTTTTAGCAAGCTTGTTTTTGCTCATCACTGTCGTCCAACTACCGAAATTGAAGAAAACGGACTCTATTAGACTTGTAGTAATTTGTTCACCTTTAATTTTTGATATACAATTACGCAACTCTTTTTCAACCTTGGCGATCACTTCCCAAGTGCTTCCCTCAGTGGCGAATGCTTCATTATTTTTATGATTAACAGGAAAGAGAATAATATCACGTGTTGATTCTGAGCGTGAATGAAGCATGAACTGCTTGTCTGCTACCAAAAATGAGTAAATAGATGTACATCGGTCAAAATATTGTCCACAACCAACACGATTGCCATTGATGCAATTAATGACCCCTTCACACGATGCAGGTATGTGAACCCTTAAGCAGTCACATTGCTTCTTTAAACAAGTATTTTCTTTTATTGTTGTAGGAGGATATCGATCTTTACAGTTGAGGGGGCGCCGATTACCATCCTTCTTATGTTTCTCCGTAATACACTGGCTTACATACTTACTTCCGATTGATGCACGATCTTCAGCTTGCACGTTATATGTCGGGAGAACATAGTCAAACCATGTTAGTGCATCGAAACGAAGGCGCATGATGCCATTGTGCCAGAAGAACACGATTTGGTAAGGTTCTCTGTCAAATGGCTGTTGTGCTTTGTTCAAAATTTCTCGAAACATAGATAAAAGATCAGACGCTGTCCGTATTGCTGATTTTGTGAAATTTTTCGAGTTTATCGATTCAATTATTTTGTAATCTATATAAGGGACGTCGAATTTATATTCTATTTCACTCATAAGTCTTAATTTGTCGATCTTGTGTAGTTTAATGTTACGTTAAAATGTGACCTATAATTGTCGTTTGTAGAACACGATAATGGTAGGTGTTGAATTTTTCAGATGAGAATCTGAAGCAGTGGATATGTACGCGTTTCTTCAGTACCTACGTTGTCGAAAAATATCTAAAAGAGATTCAGGTTCTCGTGAATCGTTACTACGAAAGTATTTTTAGAATTTAAAAAGTATATAAGTTACATATATAATACTGTAAATAAATGTGTTCTTTTGTTGGTGCATCTTTGAATAGTTACGTAAGTCGACAACCACTGGAGGATGCATAATGAATTGAAACATCATTCAGATAGATAGATTACCAAATAACTCACAAAAACAGATAAAAATATATCAGAGACTACAGGAAACCATAGGTATTCTTATTTTTTAGGTGATTCCAAATGCATCAGGAGCTATCGAAAACCATCGGAGATCTTATGTGTTATTAGAGAGTGTAGATGCAACTTAGGCATGCGCCTAACCCGGGTACAAGCCGGGTAGACCCAGATTTGGTCATACCTAGGTTCGGTCGTATCCGGTATTCAGTTATACCAGGGTTCGATTATACCAGGTATTCGATACTACCTGGGTTTCATCATACCCAGATTCGGTATTGGGATTGCCAGGTCTACTTATTTGTATCCTTCGAAGCATAGAAATGAATAATAAATAGCACCTATGGGTATATGATAGGTGGTAAAAGATGAGTTCATATCAAAGATACTTTGCCTTGCTCAGTCTATCATAGTTAATCTCATTTATCAGGAACGGTTACAGCTAAAGAAATTTCTCTTAATATTTCTTTTGGACTCAACTACAAGAAGTCGTCGAATGATTCCCCTTATTAAATTTTCCAGAGATACAGATGTATGATTTTTTCTCCATCGGCCTACTAACAATATCAATATTAATAATGCTAATATCAATACTACCAATACTAAATTGTATTGATATTAGTAGTATTCGAATTCTCACATCCCTACTTAGACTATCAGAAGGATCATTTCAATAACGAGAACCATTCGACGATTTCCTGTAGTTGAGCCCAAGAGAGATATTAAGAAAGGCTCATTCAATTATGCGCTTTCCTGATAAATAAGATTATCTATGATAGATTGAAGAAGTGACGATAAACCTTTGAAATATAATCATTTTTTGATCATCTATCTGTAGGTACTATTTATTATTCATTTCTATTCTTCAAAGAATACGAATAAATACACACAGGAATCCCGTTATCCAATCTGGGTATGACCGAACCCGGGTAGTACCGAATATCGAGTAGTTCAGGTTCGGTGCATGCCTAAATGCAGCTGTAGGACTGACACAGGAAGAGACAAACAAGGTATGGAAACTACTCTGGGTGTATTGGAAGGACGGTCACTCGAGTTGAGACCAGCAGCTACCGGGAATTATTTATTTGGGATTTATTAGGATCTTTTAATAAATCCCGGTATTTATTTCTGTTTCGAGATTTATTGGGATTTATTGAGATTTATTGAGATCTATTACG